CTCTCCTTACTATGCGAGCAGAGGCCGTTCGATCTTCCTAAGAATATCGAAGAGCCTCTGCTCGCAGCGTAGCCTCTGCTAAGATTTTTAAACATCTAAAAATGGTGTAATTTCCCATCTTCAACGGATTTTTACCCTAAAAAGGTCACGTCGAAATTTTTGGAAGCTTTTCTTCTGGCTGAAATTTTCGAATTAAAGCTAAGTTTTTATCCCTATAATTTTCGGATCACTAGACTTTCAGCTAGCAAATCCGAACAGATGTATAATTTTTAGGGGATAAAAATATGCCTATTTCTACCGTTTCAGTGCTAAAATATGTTTAAAAATGCTATTTTTATGTGGTTTTGAACTATATCCTCGTTGGGTCCCCTGATTCCGTCATGAATCAACAGTAATACATTTATCAATCCAAGCATTTCCGTCAATTCTGAATGGCTGTTGTAGACATTATGCAGAGTGATCGTTTAATACAAAAAAACACAAATGTCGCGGATGGTGTAAGTTTGAAATTTTAAAACAATAGAGGATGTGGCCGATCATGTGAGCAGGTAACCGGAGTTCGGTTTTTTGTTATCTAACCTGATCAAGAAAAAGTAGTAGTACACTTGTTTAAGTTGTGTTTTCTAAAGATGGCTGCTACTACCCGAGTAGTAGTACCAACATCGACATCAGTAACAATGATTTCCGTATGGATTTGTGTTATCACGCTTTTTTTTTGTAGAATGTATGGGATTTTCCTATGTTTCAAGGTTGCAGGGTGAACGATTGCGATAACTAATGTATGGATCAATTAAATTTTGTAAGAAGATTAATTTAATGAGGAAAGTACTTCTTATGCCAAATGCAGGTCCCTTTTCGTAGTTACAGGATGGTGAAAACCATCCGCAAGTGCAACTTCAGCTCCCAGTAGGTCTTAATATAAGAGATTGATCGTCAAAGCAAGTCTAGAAGACACGATCATTCCTTTCCCGAAGGGATCATAGGTGGTAAGACAGAAGTGGGAACGAGGGCTCTTCTACGGTTTCAAAATACTACTTAGTTGTTGTTATTTTGGCTCAGGCGTTTCATATAACATACCAATATTTTTTAAACTCTGCCGGGGGTGACCAGAAGCAGAAAAGTCCCCGACAGAATTTAGCGCTGACAGCGGCGTAGCTGCCTTTAAGCCATTGAGTCCGGGCTTAACAAATTAAAATTTGGTTCAAAATGATATCAGTTCATGTAATTACATGTTATCAGGGCGTGAAATTGCAACTCATTAATACAGACACTGGTGTCTGTGACCATCATGCAAAATGGCACATATTTCATTAGGAAGCTCTGTCGCTGGCGAACGCTATCTTGGTTTTTCAAGTAGATTTGTAGGAGTCCTCTTTGCATACTTTAATTACCTCCTAGAATCATCTGGGTTCAGAACTTGTAAATTTGGAGGACCTCAGCTCTAAAATCAGAATAATATCGAGTAAACCGGCCGTCCTTGTTTGTTCAGTTTCTTCTTGTTTTGTTTCGTTTATTTATATTTTTTTCTGGGGACTCAGGATGTTACGCCACAAAATGTAACAATTGACGCAAAATGTAACATGAACGCGAAATGTAACAACTTTTGACGCGAAAAGTAACATTAACCCGAAATGTAACAACTTTTGACGCAAAATGTAACAACTTTTTAACGCGAAATGTAACAACTTTTTGACGCAAAATGAAACAATATTTTTAACGCGAAATGTAACAAGCAAAATGTTACAGCCTTGAAATAACTGAGAGACTTGGACATGAGCCTTGTAGATAAAGTGTAAATTGTCTGGTGGTTACAAAAACAGTTTATTTATAAAGTTTTCTCATAATGTCAAATAAACTTACAAAAGGTCGTAAAGCAGGTGATAAAGTTACAAGTCATGTATAACCTTGGAATTGGCTACCACTTAAAATAACGAGAAATGATTTATATAAAAATACGTCATATCATATAATGCATAGAACATGATGTAAAAAGTGTTAAAAAATAATTAACAATTTTTATGTATTTTAATATGATATGATATATTTTTATGTATATTTTCGCCTTATTTTAACTTTTTTGACATTCTAAACTAGCCTGGGCGTATATCAAGTACTGAATTGTTTAGTTTATTTGCTTATTCATTTTATATTTTCACTCGTATCAAATTTCCAACTGTACCGCTTTTTAACTACATATAAATACTTGAGACGACTTTCCGTTTCTTCAATAAATCCCTCGAAGAAGAACGGCATTACCGTTCGAACTATCGGTCGGAGTATTGTCGTTTGCTGTTTTGTTATTACAGTAAATTATATAACGTAACATTCCCCCAGATTCTAAGTTAGTCAAAGAAGCCAGAGGGAGGTGACATATTCCCGTATACTCACCGAAGTTAGACATTTTCCATTGGCAGAATATTGTATCAAGAAATCAAACGACAAGCAGATATAGGGTTTCCTATGTGATCCATCCATTCTACACTTTACATTCACGAGAAATTCATGTATTAAATAGGTGGACAGGATGGCTGTGATGGGAGTTTGGGCATTTACTTTGTGTAAAAGACACAGATGACATTATAAAACAAAAGAACAAAGAACCATGAAAACATACCAAGCAGATTTTCCCTGAACAGAGAACAAAGAAGTCTTTTGCTTTACATCATCTGTGTCCGGTACGCAAAGTTTTGACTGGAATTTGGATCCATTAATATCTGCACAAATTGTCAATTCATTTGGTCAGGGAAAGTGTATATTTGACTGCCAGTCTGGGAATTTAAAAACTATGCCTCTGGCAACCATGTCTCAACAAGCTCATGCTTTTTGAGAATTGAAACACTGATCACCTTCAACGTTACTTGTATGTGGACATTTCATACAAATTCAATCTTGCATGAGTATTTCTTTCTCATTCATGTACACAAATAACTATAAACACTTTCATAAATGATTTGGTATTTTTTACAGTGATGATTCAGTGCTAACGAGGGTACCGCATATTCAGTGATCATGAGTCATGATCACTTTCATAGTTCTCCTCAACTGTATCCTTAATGACATAGCGCGTGACCAGGCTCCGCAGTGAGGGAAAAAGGAAAAAAAAGGGGTCAAATAGGAAAAATATCACATTGCTACATGCATGTAATTTCTATTTTAGTGTAAGTGATTATGTTTACACCTTACTGCTACAAACAAATAGTTGTCAAGTGTGATTATGTACTACAACAAGTGCAAACAATCTCTTGCTGTAATTCACTTAACAATAAATATTTTTTTTCTCCAATTACCAGGATTTACTTGTTATTTTCACTGCAGCATTATCTCCTACCATTTCATCCACTCACTACTAATGACATACTTCACAAGTAATTATTCTTAAACATTAAAGATAGCATGTGTTTGCTGCATATTCGCCCGTAGTTAGTCACTATCACACCCATTTTTCTTTTACTATAATTACACATGTAGGGGGGTCAAATGGGGTGGACATGGGATGAGACTTATGAAGCATTGGCTACCCTTCATTAAAATCCCAGAAAATCCTTTTTAATAAAAGAGCACTAGGTTGAAATTTACTCCCACCAAAAGTTTATTTCTTGTTGCTTTTATTTGATTGAACAAAGTCTTGAATGTGTTTTTCATTTGAGGAACAAAATTTTACCTTAACCACTTTTTTTAAAATAACGATAAAATTGACACAATGATCCGCTACATTGAGTCCAAGCCATTCTTATTTTTCGTTGGGATCATTTGCGGACCATTTTTTGCGGCATAACAATCGACTGGAACAGATAATTCAGCTCCTCCTGATTGTACCCCTCGTGCCGAAGAGTTCTTATTTCGTGCAAGCATTTATTAGCCTTAACAATCTTTGCAGACACGTGACTTGCGTATTTACAATTGTACTGGAATATCACACCTAATAGTTTAAGCTCGCTGCATTGCGGAATGTTATGTATTTTACACAGTTCCTCTACAAACCTTTTTTACGGATGGTGAGTTCTTTGCACTTTCCAGGATTACTTGACATGCAGTTATTTTCAGACCAACCTTAAAAAATTGCCCTTCACTTCCGGTGACTGATCAACTCCATCTTTCCACAAGGGGATTGCAATATCATCGGCATATTTAAAAAGTATGTCAACACCTTGTGATTGAATATTAAGACCATTCAGGAAAACACTGAATAAATATGGCCCGCTGACAGACCCTGGGGTCGAACCCCTATTGACATCTTTCCATTCTCCGAGGAAGCTGTTATCATATACAACTCTTTGTTGCCTATCAGAAAGAAAACTAAGATACAATTCTGAATATAAGGATTGAGAGCAAGACTTTAAAGCTTATCAGATCAGCAAGTAAGACATTGTATACAACTGTCAAATTTTTATCAGCTTTAGTTATTGTCTCATTTTTGTAAGAATCATCCACTGAAAAACAAAAAAATTAACAATTTTTCTTATAGCTTCACTTATGCATTCAGGTCTGATGTCTTTTAAGTCTTTTTCAGTAGGGATTTGACAATCACACCCTCTACAACACCACACCCCTGGTTTGATAGTTTACTTTAAGAAACATGTAAATTATCAGGTACAAACACCGACAGAAGGAAGGGTGTTGGCCCAAAGTGGTCCACCCCTCCATCTGGGTAGCTGAATATGGCGCGAAACTCCCCCTGATCATAGAAGACAAATTGAGGATTAATTTATTTCTATTATTATTCATTTTATCATCATTATTGGTATTATTACCAAATTACGACAAAGCTATTACAAGTTATGACAGCTATTACAAATTACGACAATTATTACACGTTACGACAGAACAGTCGTTTATCACATTTAGCCCTTTGGGACGTTCGTTTTTGAAAAACATTTTAAAAAATTGACCAAAAATTCTTCATTTTGACCGACTGAATAAAGGAAACGTACTGGTAGTTCAGAAACTAAAAAACGTAATTGATTAAACAATATTGGACGTCAATTCTTAATAATCTATTT